TAAAATCCAGCAGTTGTGCTGCATTTTTACTACTGTCAGCCCCTCCGCCTCCCCCCCTCAGCTGCAGAGGCAGTAAAATCCAGCAGTTGTGCTGAATTTTTACTACTGTCAGCCCCTCCACCTACCCCCTTTACCCCCCTCAGCTGCAGAGGCGGTTGCTTGGAGTGTACACATACTACAGCCGTGGTGCTTTGTTTTGTGACTGTTGCAGGAATTTTACCCCCCTATATCCTGAAAGAAATTTAATCTCCAAACACAGAAAGGTTTCTTCGCAGTAAGAGCTGTGAGAATGTGGAATAGACTCCCTCAAGAGTTGGTTGTGGCCAGCTCAGTGGATTGCTGTAGGAAAGTCCTGGATCCTTTCTTGGATACACAGAATATAACTGGATATAACATTTATAGGTAAAGTAGATCCAGGGAATATCCGATTGCCTCTCGGGGGATCAGGAAGGAATTTTTTCCCCTGCAGGAGCAAATTGGATCGTGCTTTGCTGGGTTTTTTGCCTTCCTCTGGATCAACTGTGGGTGTAGGATTATAACATTTTTTTTTTTTTTTTTTTTTATGGTTGAACTGAATGGACTTTTGTCTTTTTTCAGCCAGACTAACTATGTAACTATATTGGTTTCAAGTGGGCCACGCTGCAAGCACCCCACAACCATGTGCAATGCACTAGTGTAGGGTTCAAGGGGTGATACAGAATATTCAGCTACACCGCAGCCTGAAAGGTTGTGAATGGAGGGGTGTCTATACTAGGGGGCAGAAAGGTGTCTGTACAGGGGAGCAGGGGAATTTAGGAATGGTGTGTCTCTGTCTTTGTACTGATGGGTCTATATTGGGGGAGCATTCTGTCCTATGGGGTCTGTGCTCAGGAAGTCAGTCTGTGCTGAAAGGAGGAGTCTGTACCGAGGGGTTTGTGTTGGGAGATCTGTACTGTGGGGGTAGGCTGGGAGGGGGATTTTAGCGACGTTAGGGGAGATCTGTACCTTGGGGGTAGGCTGGGAGGGGGATTTTAGTGACGTTAGGGGAGATCTGTACCGTGGGGGTAGGCTGGGAGGGGGATTTTAGCGACGTTAGGGGAGATCTGTACCGTGGGGGTAGGCTGGGAGGGGAGTTTAGCGACATTAGGGGAGATCTGTACCGTGGGGGTAGGCTGGGAGGGGGATTTTAGCGACGTTAGGGGAGATCTGTACCATGGGGGTAGGCTGGGAGGGGAGTTTAGCGACGTTAGGGGAGATCTGTACTGGGAGGGGAAGTTTAGCGACGTTAGGGGAGAGCCGTACTGTGGGGGGGGGGGGGGGAAGAGTGACTTGTACTGGAATGAGGAGGTAATTTTGGTTGTACTCTATAAAGTGGCCTGTGCGTTACACACTCCTGACCCCTGCACTGTAGATACATTCACATGGGCACTGAGCCCATCCTCCATGCTGAGCCATTTTTGCTGTTTTTAATCCACCTTGGAGCTGTGTGCAAGCAGCCCATAGACGTGAACGCAGATACAACAACTTCATGGAAACATTTGCAAAATGTGGCATTCAGGAAGGAGCTGGTGCACAGATCCCATTGCCCAGAGTATGTTTGGATCTGTTCTTCCGCTCCTGCCTGTATGTCAGATATTACCATGCATCTGTGTCCATTCATTTGCTGCCTCTGCTATAACATCTGTGGGGCTGCCTGAGCCCAGCTTTAAGGTGTATCCAGATGCAGCAAAACGTGGCTCAGCATGGAGGATGGATCTCAGTGCCCGTCAGAATGGAGATTTCTTAAAACTGGAGCAGCTGTGCATGGCAACCAATCGCCTCTGTGCGTATGTGAGATCAGTGGACTGAGGGGATACCATCCGGAATCCTCCTGGGATGTATGCTATGTACAGCGCATCCAGAAAATATTCACAACACTTCACTTTTGCCACATTTTATGTTACGGCCTTATTCCAAAATAGATTAAATTCATTTTTTTCCTCAACATTCTACAAACAATACCCCATAATGACAACGTGAAAGAAGTTTGTTTTGAAATCTTTGCAATTTTTTAAAAATAAAAAACAAAAAAAACCACCATGTACATAAATATTCACAGCCTTTGCCATGACGCACCAAATTGAGCTCTGGGCATCCTGTTCCCACCAATCATTCTTCAGATGTTTCTACAACTTGATTGGAGTCCACCTGTGGGACATTCAGTTGATTGGAGTCTACCTGTGGGACATTCAGTTGATTGGACATGATTAGGAAAGGCATAAACCTGTCTATAGAAGGTCCCACAGGTAACAGTGCATGTCAGAGCACAAACCAAGCCATGAAGTCCAAGGAATTGTCCGTAGATCTCCGAGACAGGATTGTATCAAGGCACAGATCTGGGGAAGGGTACAGATAAATTTCTGCAGCATTGAAGGTCCCAATGAGCACAGTGGCCTCCATCATCCGTAAATGGAAGAAGTTTGGAACCACCAGGAATCTTCCTAGAGCTGGCAGCCCGGCCAAAATGAGCGATCGAGGGAGAAGGGCCGCACCCAGGGAGGTAACCAAGCACCCGATGGTCACTCTGAAAGAGCTCCAGCGTTTCTCTGTGGAGATAAGAGAACCTTCCAGAAGAACAACCATCTCTGCAGCATTCCACCAATCAGGCCTGTATGGTAGAGTGGCCAGACAAAAGCCTCTCCTCAGTAAAAGGCAAATGGTAGCCCGCCTGGAGTTTGCCAAATGACACCCAAGGGACTCTCAGACCATGAGAAACAAAACTCTGGTCTGATGAAACAAAGATTGAACTCTTTGGCCTGAGTGCCAAACATGTCTGGAGGAAACCAGGAACCGCTTACCACCTGACTAATACCATCACTACAGTGAAGCATGGTGGTGGCAGCATCATGCTGTGGGGATGTTTTTTAGTGGCAGGAACTAGGAGACTAGTCAGGATCGAAGGAAAGATGAATGCAGCAATGTACAGAGACATCCTTGATGAAAACCTGTTCCAGAGCGCTCTGGACCTTAGACTGGGGCGACGGTTCATCTTCCAACAGAACAATGACCCTAAGCACACATAATATAGGCGTGGCTATAGGCCAACTCTGTGAATGTCCTGGAGTGGCCCAGCCAGAGCCCAGACTTGAACCTGATTGAACATCTCTGGAGAGATCTGAAAATGGCTGCGCACCGACGCTCCCCATCCAACCTGATGGAGCTTGAGAGGTCCTGCAAAGAAGAATGGGAGAAATCGCCCAAAAATAGGTGTGCCAAGCTTGTAGCATCATACTCCAAACGACTCGAGGCTGGAATTGGTGCTAAAGAGGCTTCAACAAAGGATTGCGCAAAGGCTGGGAATACTTATGTACATGGGGTTTTTTTTTTTTGTTTTTTATTTTTAATAAATTGCAAAGATTTCAAAATGAACTTCTTTCACGTTGTCATTATGGGGTATTGTCTGTAGAATGTTGAGGAAAAAAATGAATTTAATCCATTTTGGAATAAGGCTGTAACACAATGGTTCTCAACCTGTGGGTCGCGACCCCTTTGGGGGTCAAACGATCCTTTCACAGGGGTCCCCTAAGACCATCAGAAAACACATATTTCCGATGTGTAGAAAGCAGCTGCTGTGTAGAAAGCAGCAGTATTGGAAGTAAAACGACACTCATGAATTATAATTACTGGGTAATTAATTTTATGGTTGGGGGTCACCACAACATGAGGAACTGTATTAACCACTTCCCGACCGGCCGTTGCATATAAACGGCCGGACGGTGGCAGAACAGGGTAGTTTTGGCCGTTTATGAACGGCCTCCCCGCACCCTGCTTGTGCGCGCTCCCTGGGAGCGCGCAGCACCGCGATCCGGTGCCCGCTGTGTCCTCCGGACACAGTGAAACACCGATCGTCGGACGGGACCTCTGTACGAGGTCCCGATCATGTGATCACTGATTGGCCAATCAGTGATCACATGCAAAGTAGTAAGCAAGATGTCACTTGTGACATCATTGCTTACTACGTGTGAAATCTGTGAATGATCACAGAGGTCACATGGTACAGGGCTATTCACAACAGCCTTGTACCATGTGACAAGCTCTGACCAATCACAGCTAACTCTGTATTTCTCAATGAGTGCAAGAATGCACACAGAGAGAAAGAGAAATGATTGCTTTTACATCCTATATGGGTGTAAAAGCAATCATTGTAAAAAAAAAAAAAATCTTCATCACCCCCCACAAGTAGTACAGTGTCACCATGGTGACACTGTACTGCTAGGGTGACAGTATGTAAAAAAATAATATAAAAAAATAAAATAAAAATGTAAAAAAAATGTTTAAAAATTATAATTTTTGGTTATAAACTAATTTGTTTTTGTTTTTTTTTTTTACTAAAAAGATAACAGAATACATTTTGGCAAAGATTTATGATGAAATATTATTTATTTGCAAAATTTTATAAAAAAAAACACTTTTGTTCAAAATTTTTGGACTTTTTCATTTACATAGCAAAAAAAATAAAAATCCCAGCAGTGAATAAATACCACCAAAATAAAGCTTTATCTGTTGCAAAAAAATGTAAAAAATTCATTTGGGTACAGTGTTGCATGACTGCGCAATTGTCATTCAAAGTGTGATAGCGCTGAAAGCTGAAAATTGCCCTGGTCAGGAAGGGGGTAAAAGTGTCCGGTCTGGAAGTGGTTAAAGGGTCGTGGCATTAGGAAGGTTGAGAACCACTGCTGTAACATAACAAAATGTGGCAAAAGTGAAGTGCTGGGAATACTTTCTGGATGTGCTGTATGCTGAGAAACTAGGGGCACTAAGGGCTTTGTCATCTTTGCTTGGGTGAGAAAAGAAGAAGTGGGAATGAGTGCCAATACGAAAAGTTACCTGCTTTCCTAAAAAATGAACACTAATGCAGCCACCATATGAAAGGACTGGTAAGCTGCAGTAAATGATATATTTTTAGGTTTAGATGCACTTTCTTCTCTGAAGCTATCCATCTCCTTTTTATTATAAAAAATACTTTTTCTTTTGCTTTCAGCATGGACAAAGACAGTCAGGATGTCTGTCACGAGCTGAACGAACTCAAGAACAAATTCCAAGCCATGAGGAAGCAGATCAATAACATGCCTGGGATCGACCTGACCCCCGATCAGCAGCAGCAGCACCTCCAGAGCCTGCGAGTGCAGGTACAGACCAAGAACGAGCTCCTGCAGAAGTACAAGAGCCTTTGCATGTTTGAGATCCCCAAGGATTAGTGGTAGAGGCTTTCTTTAGGGTACAAAGACCATGGGAGCGACTCTGCCGTATACGACGGGCCCTGATGCATGAGACAATGGCCTCCGCTCCAAAGGAGATCATTCCATTGTACCCGGACCTTTTCTGTGTCTGCAGTACGGGACTATAGCCCTGCCGGATCATACGTGTGGGAAAGTTTCGACAACCAGCCTTGTGCCAGAACATTTCCATGTCGTAAGGGTGTTTAATGGTTTGCTTGGAATACACATGGGCAAGTGTGTGTACAGTTTGTGTCTGGAGTTTTTTTTTTTTTCTTTTTCAAGCTGGAAAGACTTCATGTTGTTATTCAGATCATGTGCTTTAAGCTATTATTAAGTAATCATGCTAATCGGGTAATTAAAGGGTGTTACACTACCTGTGTCAGCCTATACACTTGTACATTGCAGGTAACTTGGCTAAGAGTTTTTAAAGGCCTAAAGCGAACCCACGTGCTTGAAAGTAGTTTTGTTGTTAGGTTTACATACACTTTTCTAAAATAATTACGTATCCGATCATAACTGGTATCACCACCGCCCATCATTCGCAAGTTCCTAATTCCGAAACACCGATCTGGAGCATGCGCGCAAACGCCATCCTATACTGCATCGTTCTTCCAGGCCTGTGCTCCAAAAATGATTGGTCGCTGGATTATAATAGCCAGAAAGCAAGTATTTTTATGTGGGAATATTAACCTCTTTCTGTCCATCCCCAGCATCACTTTAATAGGGTCTGTACACCTGGGTGGTGGGAAAGATCCGTGATCATTTGGCTACTGTGATTGGCTGTAATTTTCTTACTACCACTAGGTAAAAATGACAGAAAAAAACCTGAAAAATGAAACTTATACAACCACCATATCTGCAAAGCTGCAATATGCTGCTGTTTTTGTTCTTTGTTTTGGGCATGCTTTAAATTGGCGATCTCAAAACTGTGGCCTTCAGGCCAGATGCAGCCCTTTGCCTGCCTTTATCTGACCCTTGGACACCATTCCTCCCACTGCAACAATGATAGGACACTTCTTACAACTGACACAAGTGATGGGGCCCCATCCCTTCCACCAACACCAGCAATGGGGCCCCAGTTATCTCACTGACACCTATGATCGGTCACTTTTCCTCCCACTGACATAAACGGTCGGGCTGTTCCTCCCACTTTATGTAGCACCAACAGTTTGCTCAGCGCTTTACAATATAACAGGAGACAATACAGCAACAATACAGTTCAATACAAGAGGGATAGGAGGGCCCTGATCCTGGGAGCTTACAATCTAGGAGGGAGGGGCTAGTGGTACAAAAGGTAATAACTGTGGGGGATGGACTGGTAGAAGGAAAAGAAGATTCCAGTATTAGCTGAGGGCAGGATAGGCTTCCCTGAAGAGATCGTTTTTCAGAGATTGCCTAAAAGTGAGCAGAGTAGGCGATAGTCTGATAAATTTGGTGTAGAGAGTTCCAGAGGATGTGGAAGCTCTGGAGAAGTCCTGGGGACGAGCATGGGAGGAGGAGACAAGGGAGCTACAGAGTAGGAGGTTGTGCGAGGAGCGGAGAGGACGGTTTGGGTGATATTTAGAGACAAGATCGGTGATGTAATTTGGGGCGGAGTTATAAATGGTTTTATATGTTATTGTTAATGTTTTGAATTTTATCCGTTGGGCAATGGGAAGCCAGTGGAGGGAATGGCAGAGAGTGATGGAGGACACTGAATGGAGGCCAGTGGAGGGATTGGCAGAGAGTGATGGAGGACACTGAATGGAGGCCAGTGGAGGGATTGGCAGAGAGTGATGGAGGACATTGAATGGAGGCCAGTGGAGGGATTGGCAGAGAGGGATGGAGGACACTGAATGGAGGCCAGTGGAGGGATTGGCAGAGAGGGATGGAGGACACTGAATGGAGGCCAGTGGAGGGATTGGCAGAGAGTGATGGAGGACACTGAATGGAGGCCAGTGGAGGGATTGGCAGAGAGTGATGGAGGACACTGAATGGAGGCCAGTGGAGGGATTGGCAGAGAGGGATGGAGGACACTGAATGGAGGCCAGTGGAGGGATTGGCAGAGAGGGATGGAGGACACTGAATGGAGGCCAGTGGAGGGATTGGCAGAGAGGGATGGAGGACACTGAATGGAGGCCAGTGGAGGGATTGGCAGAGAGGGATGGAGGACACTGAATGGAGGCCAGTGAAGGGATTGGCAGAGAGGGATGGAGGACACTGAATGGGGGCCAGTGAAGGGATTGGCAGAGAGGGATGGAGGACACTGAATGGAGGCCAGTGGAGGGATTGGCAGAGAGGGATGGAGGACACTGAATGGAGGCCAGTGGAGGGATTGGCAGAGAGGGATGGAGGACACTGAATGGAGGCCAGTGGAGGGATTGGCAGAGAGGGATGGAGGACACTGAATGGAGGCCAGTGGAGGGATTGGCAGAGAGGGATGGAGGACACTGAATGGAGGCCAGTGAAGGGATTGGCAGAGAGGGATGAAGGACACTGAATGGGGGCCAGTGAAGGGATTGGCAGAGAGGGATGGAGGACACTGAATGGGGGCCAGTGGAGGGATTGGCAGAGAGGGATGGGGGCCAGTGGAGGGATTGGCAGAGAGGCATGGAGGCCAGTGGAGGGATTGGCAGAGAGGGATGGAGGACACTGAGTGGAGACCAGTGGAGGGATTGGCAGAGAGGGGTGGAGGACACTGAGTGGAGGCCAGTGGAGGGATTGGCAGAGAGGGATGGAGGACACTGAATGGAGACCAGTGGAGGGATTGGCAGGGAGGGATGGAGGACACTGAATGGGCGCCAGTGGAGGGATTGGCAGAGAGGTTTGGAGGACACTGAATGGGGGCCAGTGGAGGGATTGGCAGAGAGGGATGGAGGACACTGAATGGGCGCCAGTGGAGGGATTGGCAGAGAGGGATGGAGGACACTGAATGGAGACCAGTGAAGGGATTGGCAGAGAGGGATGGAGGACACTGAATGGAGACCAGTGGAGGGATTGGCAGAGAGGGATGGAGGACACTGAGAGGAAGCCAGTTGAGGGATTGGCAGAGAGGGATGAAGGACACTGAATGGGGGCCAGTGGAGGGATTGGCAGGGAGGGATGGAGGACACTGAATGGGCGCCAGTGGAGGGATTGGCAGAGAGGGATGGAGGACACTGAATGGGGGCCAGTGGAGGGATTGGCAGAGAGGGATGGAGGACACTGAATGGGCGCCAGTGGAGGGATTTGCAGAGAGGGATGGAGGACACTGAATGGAGACCAGTGGAGGGATTGGCAGAGAGGGGTGGAGGACACTGAATGGAGACCAGTGGAGGGATTGGCAGAGAGGGATGGCAGATACGGAACGGTTAGTATATGTAGGGTTTACAACCACTTTATGTGGCTTCATGACAGGTTCACTTTAAATGACTGAACAGCTCCACTACAACAGCACTATCAGTTATCTGAAGCTCCTGTAATCTGTTGAGTTTTTTAATGAATTTCCGGCGGCACCACTTATTAGATCGGCTTGGCCTGCCTGGAAGACGTCACCAATTGCGTTAAATCCTCTATAATTTACATGTTTGAGGAGGAAAGTTTTTGGAAGGTGCGGTATGATTAGAGGATGGGCGCTGACCCATATCATTCTCCTGCTGTGAGACGACCTCGGTGGTTCTGTTTGGGCTGTGCGGTCGGATAACTAATCTGCAGTTCTGGATTAGATCCAGGATGGGCCTGAGTCTCGCTCTCTGTATTAGTCACCGTGCATTATTATACCCAGCACTCAATGCTTGATGGCTCCCAGAACAGAGGCGGAAACTCCACACGGAGGGATATTGGTGGGACGTCAACATCTCTAAACATAGCCCCATCCTATAGATCGCGCCCAGCATCTGCAGCCTTTCCAATCTGGCTCAGCTCGTTCTGTTCCTCTCCCACTCATGAGCCGGCCTTATTGACCTCAATTCTCTCCGGTTTACAGGTGCATCTAAATCACTTTGTTTACATCTTTCTTCCCTTCTACCTACTGAAAAATAATTAAAAAAAAACTAACCTTTTAAACTTTTTTGTTTATATTTTGCCAATGGCAGTTTATTCATAGCCGAGCTGTTTTCTGAAATCTCAGCGCCCACGCCATGACGTCGCTAATTTGAAACAAAATCAAATTAAAAATAAAGCCGGACATTTTAAAAATAAAATCGTCAAGAGTTTAAAATACATGTGCTTGTGTTTTTTAAAGCAGTGTGTTCTTGTCTTGTCAGGCTGTATGATTAATTAAAGGATACATTCACCTTTCGTAACATGTTACATTCAGAATACCCCCCCCCCCCCCCCCCCCGATCTTCTCCCACTGTGCTAGCTGTCAATTTTTTTTTAAAAAACATGGCCGTGCGGGGCTCCACCCACACGGCCGCATCACTCATTTACATCCCGTACAGGAAGCAGATATTCTGACAGGTCTGCAGGAGACCTGCATAGCATCAGCGATCTACTGATCACTGGTGCAATGTTTCCAGGCTCCTGCAGACAAAAATAATAAATGCACATTTTTTATTACCTGCAAAAAAATGCGCATTTATTATTTTTTTTCCTAAAAGGTGAACTTTAACCACTTCCCGTCCGGCCGTTGTATGTAAACGGCCGGACGATGGCAGTCCAGGGACGGGTTGCCATTCATAAACCGTGCCCGCCATTTTGGACTGTGCGCGCTCCCTGGGAGCGCGCGGCACCGCGATCCAGGAGGACACAGCGGAAAACTGATCGCTGTACAGGACCTCTGTGTGAGGTCCTGGTCATGTGATTCCTGATTGGCCAATCAGTGGTCACATGAATAGGTGTAAGCAAGATGTCACTTCTGACATCATTGCTTACTACTTGTGAAATCTGTGAATGAGCACAGAGGTCACATGGTACAAGACTATTCACAACAGCCTTGTACCATGTGACAAGCTGTGACCAATCACAGCTCACACAGTGTTTCTCAATGGCTGCAAGAATGCAGCCAGAGAGGAGAAATT